TATATTCTCTGCACATATCGCCTACTCTGTGTCAGGTTTGCATATAGGGTATTGGTATATGAGACTGGTCGTATGTACATATGTATGTAATTACCTGTATTGTCAACTCGCGCCAAAATGACCATGATATCTTTCATCCTTATGCACCCTACGTACGGTATGAATATACAATTCTAGTAAATCTGCAGTATAGTGATAGTAGTATATTTATAAGTCTCTTATACTCGGTATAAGTGAAATACGGAGTTACATACTGCTCATGTATATACCTGTAGTCTCGACCTCAGTATTACCGTAAGTGAGAACTCGAAATATACGTAATTGATTCACTTGATTGGGGTGAACCATACTCAGAAGTCAGCGGTGACCATTGATATCGAGATCGCAGCACAAGTACGCAGTACAGAATACATGAGTCGCATCAGATTAACCTCAAGCCAATTACCGTGGTGGCTGATTCATATTGCAGCTCGGCGTACTCAATCGCCTGCCGGTTTAACTTAAAGAAGCTATGAATTAATATGGTTAGACCACCAGTTTAATGGAAAGTGATAATCTCTAGAGTAGCGCAAGCTCGATTCAAAACCGTCTGGGCCAAAATATTTATGAAACTGTACGACAATTTCAAGTAATGGTATTAGAGATTGAATCCAGGTAACCACACCAGCTAAACCTAGTCTGGTTGTTGAACCCTTGTAAGCGAGCGAACGGGCAGACGCAGGTAACTTACATAGCGAGATCTACACTAAGATTCGTGTACCTATCGCCAGACTGCTCATTGCAATATTTACAAGGATCGGATGTTTGGTGATGATTTGGAGCTTTCGTATATTTGCTAGTTACATTGTATGTACCTTTCGCTAGGTGGCAAATAAACCCCCCCCTGCATAAAGAGGCCCAAACGCTACATATTTGTGGAAAAGGATAAGATATTTGTTGCATGCTTATGCAGGGTATGAAACTTTTGCCATCTAGCTGTATAGTGCTCATTTCGGTCAATGGATCTATGTACAGGGTTTTCTCTGCCGTATATATCCCATTTGTATACTTCGAGTGCCTCAGATTTTCAGTGGTGGGTCATGCTTATGCCCCACTCACGTTCCTGGTTGTGCTTCTGTCCCCGCTGAGTCAGGATGATGCGAGAGTATTTACTACATTCATTTCTATGATGGATACCTAGTAGAGCTTACGACTCCGAACCGTCTGGACTATCGACTTGTCGTTCGCGCTATTCCTTTATATATTTGTCTGACATGCCTTGGTTCTGCATGAATTAGTATAGATGGCCAATTTATTTCTAAAATCAGATCCTGTGATGTGAGGGTAACCTATTGGTCCCCAAACGAAATGAAAGATAGGCAATTAATATGGTACATTCAATACCATCTTCTCGTGGTGGACGTCAGCCTTTTTCGATCATATATGTAAATAGATATTGATGTTTTGCGTATTAGTGGATATTCACAGTACCCACCAATGACTGGTTCTGGCCCACCTAATCTTCCATCAAAAGAGCTAAACACATCTGGGTGAATGATGGTTGTGTAATTTAAATTCTGACTATTCCTATCCATACATGCCCTTGTTTTTGGGTCTGTCTCCCCCTTACTTCAGTCGATTGGTATTTATTAGGTAGATGGAACCTATCGCTTATGTTGGAGTCTCTGGTTTGAGACAGAACTGTGGCTGGATTCACGACGTCGAATTAAATCCAATATTCCACGAATGATAAAAGTAGATCTGCAGATCTGCAGCAACCATTCAATAACTCGTCATCGGTAGAATTTTAATATGTGGATCATCCAACTTGCAGATAGATACGCACGGTAGATGCTGTGCTAAGTACAGCTGCAGAAAGTACAGGCGAAACCGCAGCATGTTCCGGGTAGGCCCCACTAGCTGAACTTTCAAATTCTAGAACCTATTGCAATCTGCAGATCCAATCTACTGCATTCACGCTTACTGCCGCTTCATTCGGGCTCAAGGCCCGTGTTGACATTGAGTCGAAAAGTATAAGGTTGTCTCATATGTTCAACCAAGGAACCCTTGTAAAAATGCGGACCACTCGATAGGGTTTGATTAAATTTGTATCTTCGTCTATTCCAAACGAAAGGCCGGTATCAAATACGAATTTACACAAGAACATAACAGCCGAAGAGGCAAAAAAGACCTATTATGTTATTGCTGCAAAAAGAGCGTTCAGAGGAGTGAATCCAATTAACCAGACTAATCCAATGTCATCCGTCCCATTATGATTATGCTATCACATTTTCTTCAGGCTCGGATGGTATGACGACTGGAGTACAACTTTTGCCCCTCATTTCTTGGATAGACGGATTTGGGAAAATATAGTACCTTGGTCACTAAGCACCGACCACACACCTCTCCTGGCCCGTCAAACCCCTAACTACGGGAAAACTCGCACAAAAAGAAAAGAAACCACAAACACGTCTCTACTTATACTCCGGTCCGCAGGCGATATCATCGGTCTATCCACCCGACTTTTGGTCCGTATTCTTTTTTCGTCTATCCATATCCCCAGACAATAAGTTTTCCCTCTTGAATCATATAGTGGATCAATATCACAAGGATGAGCTCCATGATAAATTCTCTGCGACCAACAAGCAAGGTTACAATATCAGGAGTACGCCGTTCAATCTCTCAACCTACTACCTCCAACACCATATACCTGGGCACCACTCCGTCTCAAGTTCCACCCGCACTACCTCCAATTCCTGCACCACGTGAGCACCCTGCTTTCCCGCCGACGCTGATAACTGGGGGCTGTGGATTCATCGGCAAGACTCTAATACAGTATATTCTTGCTCGACATCCGAGGGCGAAGTTAGCAATCACTGATAAACAACCCCCGCCCCCGCAATACCTGGGTCAGGATAATATAACATTTCATCAGATTGACCTCACCGACAAAGTGGCTGTTGAAAAGCTGTTAGAAGAGACCAGGCCTGAATTGATAATAGGAGTTGCGGGCCTTATACCAGGTCCCAAGATCAAGGATAGAAACCCTTTCTTTATTGATAATGTCTCTGCTATACGAACTTTGGTTGAGGGGTGCCAAAGCATATTGCTGGAGAAGTTGAGTCTGCATGTGAGAGGGTTTGTTCATACAAGCTCCTCTGATACCGTGAAAGGCACTAGGGAGTTAGCTGGTGTGGATGAAAGAACTCCCTATCCTAAAGTATTTTTTGACGTGTATAGTGAGTCGAAAGTAGGTTTCCTGGTTCTATGCACTGAATGGATTAATATTGCATGGATGGCGGGAGCCTCGTTAATGGGTGATACTGAGCTAGTTTCTCTTATAGGCACAAGGAGAGCAGATTGTTTTGGCAGCAAATTGTCCGGGGTTCCCGACAACCTGTCTTCGGCCACATGGTATCCTAGGGTAAGCACTAACCAACCCGTTAAGAAAGGCGCCGGAAGAGAACTCCGCTGATATCGCTTGGAAACACAATATTCAGAGCCGAAGGTCACATAATGCCCATGATGTATCAGTCTTTAAAGAATAACGAAACCGTAGTTCAAATCGGGGACAACAAGAACTTGTATGATTTTGTCGATGTGGAGAACTATTGTGCCGCCGTCCTACTTGCTGTTTATAATCTTCTGACTGTCCCAATTCCATCAACTGCCATCGGTCCACAGGATCTGCACTATGATTATATTGAGCAAGGCAATGGTGACGAGAATGGGGACCCGATATCCGCGGCAGGCCATACCTTCTTTATAACTAATCTGGAACCAGTGTATTTCTGGAGCTGGACGAGAAGGGTTTGGGGATGGCTGGCACAAGGTTCATCTCTGAGTCTGGAGGGGCCTGACAGTGCTCAAAATAATCTAGACCTCAAATCAGGCGATCAGCTGACGTCTATTTCATCGGACTTATCGGCGCCAGTAACATCGGCATCAGACATACCGGCGAATCCTTTAGAAGCCGTCCGACAGGAGTTAGATCATGGAGCCGCCGCGAAGCATAGGAGGTCATCAAGTTCTTTTGGAAATGCCATCCGCACCGCAACAGCCTTCTCCTTTTCTGCCACCCCTCCACTACCAGCTCTATATAAGCCGTACTCTCCGCCGCCTCCTCCCTTCCCAGAATCCAACAAGTTTCATGAGCAGGCACCTCTCAAGATCCCCAAGGCTCTTGGGCTTGCGCTAGCATACGCAACCGAGCTCTTCACTACAACAGTCAGAGGAAAGGATCCCGGGTTAACGAAAGCCCGTATCCAAGAGTGTTGCTACAATAGGTGGTTTCGGGGTGATAAAGCTGGACATGTATTGGGATATTGGGGTGGTTTGGCCCCTGACTCCAAAGGGTATGGAATGGGCGGTATTGGTTTGTGGTATAGCACAAAGCGTGCCTGTTACCAGTATCTCCAAATTCTGGAAAAAGCCAAACATGCAAGCCAAGCTCGAGATACCTCTTCTCCAAAGTGATGGTTTGTGTTATGTTTCAGGTCCCTCCCTGGGAGTGTGATTGGGTTTTGGAGTTGATTGGATTGGAGCCCCATTGTTTTCGTGTTTGGTTTCCTTATACTCGATATTTAATGGGTCTCCTCCGCTGAGAACTCGAGCTGTTGATATATAATATACCGTGTGACTAATGTCCTGAATTTAATCAAATATTACTTAGTTAAGTAGTTCCAACCATTCTAGTCAATTGCAAGTGCAAGCTACTGACGTGCATTTTCAATTACTGTGACAGGAATTGACTCAGCTAGTAGCGAACCACAACGCGGAACTCCTGAGTCGGTTCGAGATCTGATATGCACTAGTAGTACAGTACCTCCAGTAATGCTCGTCTGGCTAAAAGCAAGGTAGAAAAGTATACTATACCTACGATGAGAAGGGGTCAGGAATGCTATGATAATAGGGATCTACGGCTGGCAGACTAGTCCAGATACACACTAGTTGACTACCCATTTAGGCAACTCTCTCCAATGTACGGAGAAAAGGGAGTAAAAAAGAAAAGAATAATTAATTGCCCACTAAGAGAATTGAACTCTTGATCTTCGCATTACAGTCGCTCAAATGAGGTAGTACAAGTGCGACGCTTTACCACTAAGCCAAGCGGGCTGCTTACAATGACAGGTGATTATACTACACTATGATTGCATCGCATAGCTGAATGAAAGATAAAAATTTAATTCTCATGTTTTAAATCCGACGAAATTGCTGCTATAACGAGAAATAATATAGACAATAATATTGACAACATGTCTAGACAGCACAGTTTTCTATGTGATGTGTGATATTATCCATTAATCAATAAGTTCCAGCACCCTCACGGTGGGTATGCTGGTATAATACAAGCACCAACGGAATGGTGGGAAAAACAGAAAACCCCAGGGTCTAATGAAGCGACATCCCATGAAAAAAGCCGGACGCAAAGACAAGCAAACCGATTATTACAAGAGCTTATAGGTAAACCTATGAACTGAGCCAACCTTCGTGGATGTAGAAGGGGAATTATTAACAGGAACTCATGAGGATCCCCTCACCCTCCGTAGTCTCCGTAGTCTTCGTCTCTCAGCCTCCTCCAGACCTTCTATTGTTGATTTGGTACTGACAGCAACTGCAGCGCCTGATCTAGGCAATATAATCCCCCCCGCGATAAACTTCGCTCCGACACGACTCCCATCATCGCTTGTATTTCCGCCGCTCTTCACCGAACCAGCACCTCCGCTAACATTGCTAATGGTGGATGAAGCAGAAGTTGAGCGGCCTCGAAGTTTGCGAGTGAATAGGCTAGGATTCGAAAAAAACTCTTTAAACACATTGGTAGTGGATGGAGGTGGTGCGGAATCTAAGTCAAGTCGTTTATGGTCAAGGGGCGAATGAGATCTTCGGGTGACGCTTGGTGACTGTCGCCGTGTTTTTGTAGTGGTCTTTAAGCCAGTTGATTCAGTAATTTGATGAGATGCGCTTGGTCTGGGTGAAATTGGTTGGGAGAGCGTCTCTTCTTCTACTATCCCAAGGGATCCTGAGGAAGTTGGTCGCATCCCACGGGTGGCCCCTGGTGGAGTTCCGTTATTCATTCTGCTTTGAGTGTCTGTTTCGTTACGCTCGTCAATATTTCGGCCGCTTGGTCCAGTAGTGAACTTATGAACAGGGGGAGCAACACTACTAGCAGAGGCGGCACCACCTTCAACTTCGCCCATGGACGTCCCGGTCATTGCGTTCCTTTCATCATCGGAGTAAGATGGTAGTATGGGTGACGTTGCTGGTCGATTGACGCTCAATCTATTCTGAGAAAACCCGGCGCTTCCCTTGCGGACCATAAGCTGGGGAATTAATTTCGTCCCGGCACTACATGATTTTACATGGGCGTGGGCGAGGGCATCTTGGCATTCATCTTCTTCGCCTTCGCATGAATAGGAATAGGTCTCGAGGGAGCGCAAAACCGTAGGAAATACGAGCTTGTCCACATCTTGTGCCCAGAGCATGTCTAGATGCTCGTAATGAGGAATCTGTGGCTGTCAGTACCTGTTACACAAAGCGAATTAGAGATACTAACGCCTATATCCACCGTATGGCCAGGCAACTCCTTCAACATAACACGAATGTCTACTAAACTATCACTGCCACCCCATACTAATACGATGGGAGTTGTGATGTTCTTTGTCGGGAATCTGGCAACCCGGTAAAAGGTGTTTCCATACATGTTCATCAAACTCTGCGCATGCACGTCATCGTCATACATCTGGAACGACTTATTCCTGATAATTTGAAACCAGTGAACAACTGACTTGGTGGAGGTGTAGGAATATAAATGAGCATAAGCAGCAAGTTTCTGGTTTAGAGTGATATTGACGCCCCGCCAATTGAAGAGAAAGGTCAGTGCCGAGTCAATCAGACGGACAAAGATCGGCGGATCTACAAAATGTCAGTATCCGGCTTGGGACCGTGATGCAGGGGCATACAGAGTAAGGACTGCCAGAATGTGGCACTGGACAAAATCGACTTTCGGCCGAAGAGCAAATACAAGAGATTCGGAGAAGCCTTGATGAGGGCATCTACTATTGGATTATGCAGACCTGAATTGTGCATAAGCAGATCGACTCTAGTAATGACTAGATTCTTACATACCAGCAGGGCTCATAGCCGGAGCAAGTGCAATAAATACATCCACTTTCTCATTAAGACTTGGGTGTATGCTTAGACTAGCAAAAGCTTGCGCGGTGCCTTGACTGAATCCAATGTAGCTCAAACTCCTGCTCCTCGTCGTATCTAGAATATAGTTAATCGCGTCTGGAATGTCGTGAATGGCAAATTGATCCATTGAAAAGTTCCAGAAATTCGGGTCAGATGACGACTGGTGAATGCATTTCTTTGAATATTTGTTCCCGCGATTGTTACCAAGCTAAGACACATGAAGATCAGTAAGTATTGCACGAAGAAAAAATGTTGATAATAAGGATTATTACCCAAACATCATATCCAGCATCGACGAGCACAAAAGGTAGGCATCGCTCTTTCTCCGTTAGACAGACCCAGATTTCGCTGTTCATCATTAAACCTGTGTTGAACTTAGTGGAGAACACCCTCTAGATGATCACAAATTTACTCACCATGATGCATGTAAACTACGCGCTTTCCAGCATCTTCACCATAAAGTTTCCCTCGCCCCCTACCACGCGTTCGCTCCCTCCCTCTTCTCTCAGAACTCCCCTTGGGCCTAACCCGATGCAGTCCAAGGAGATAGCCATCTTTGGTCTGAACAATGTGCTCTTCTGCCTCGTATCCCCAAACCTCACAAAGCTCTACGAATCCACCTGCTTCCCGAATTTGTGCCACGACATTCTTCTCCTTCCGCGTTGACGATTTCGTCGTATGCGAAGCCGGGGAAAGTGCATTGAAGAGGGTACGCGATCGTTGGTAAAAGAAATGTATTATCGGGGTAGCTATACTGAAGCAATTAGCAAAACCCACTCTCAAAAGGAGTAGCGGAGGATATCCATACGTAAAGCGATAGTGATAACTCGGATGAAGCTCTCGAATATCAAAAAGCAAAAGCTCACAACGAGCGCCACATATTCCTGACTGTTTCGCCGCCAAAGAGGTACCGACGACGATAGGAACGCATTAGCCTCATCCTTAAACCATCTTATGGTCCAACTAGATTTCTGTTGCGTCTCTGCTCTTTTCCTCTCCTCCTCCTCTTTAAACTTATAGAAGAGGCGCTCTCTTTCAGGCGCTCTACTATAAGTATGAGTAACTAGACCACCATCACAGCTTGATCCAGACTCTGGAGTGGGTGCTTGGGCAGTGAAATCAAAGCCGATGAGGTTTCCCTCTGGTGTATGAATTCCTTCAGAAGTGCGCGCGCGGAAGGGAGGGAGATACAGGTGTAGGCGCCCCACAAAAGGGACTCTAGGCATTCTGAACTTCTTCCCTCCTCTGCCTGTCTGCTTCTGTCACTTGCGCGTTGACCTCGCAGTCGATTGTCGCCGGTGGGTGTATATGTTGTCCCCGAACAGATCTGACCTAGGAAAGGGTGTGTTGGAGGATTACAAAGTTCCCTCCCGTGTCTTAGTATTTCGTCATATATGAAAGGATATATTAAGCTCGAGTAGTGGAGAAGATGGAGTGAAAAAGGTACTTGGGATTACGTGATTGATTCAAAACCGGACTTTCATCGATATTTCGCGGTTACAATGACAAACACAGGACACAATTGGAGTGGAACATCTCCTTCGATCTTAAACTATTGCCCGTGGAGTAAGGGAGTTCTCTGGCGGGGAGTCGTGAGAAAGGATCACATCTGCCCCTTATTGACCTCGGTGAAAGGCTAAACCTAACAGCCTACCCGTGCCAACCAGACTAGGTATTCCTACCCATGCATCTCATCTCTTTCAGATCTCTTGTCTCTGCATTAGGTCCAAGCAGAAGGAAGAACTTCAATTGGCTCACTTTTATATCAGCAGCATAAGCGAGCATCAGTGGTCCAGTGGTATGATGAATCGTTGCCATCGATTCGACCGGGGTTCGATTCCCCGCTGATGCAAAACAGTTTTCTTTTGCCCTATCATTTTATCGGTTCAATCACGTGACTTAGCCCCCCCTGTAGCTTCTAGAAAGCACTTACACACTCACGACGTAACAAACATCGTCTAATGGACTAGTACATTTATCAACGTGAACAATGCCACCTTCTATTAGAATCTCTGTACCCCGAATCATACCTCGAGCCAACAAGGCACGCAACGCTCTTCCGAAAGGCTTCTTTGATCGACCACGCCCACTTGGGGTATTGGAAAAGCTTTGGGGATTGTTCAAAGATAACAATAGCGTCGAGAACAAGCAACCTCCCACGAAAGAAAAGAAATAAGTTCGAGAGGATAGTCATGTCATCAACTGGTCCGGCGGGAGGTCGGCGCCCCAGTGCCGCCACAGGCCAGCACACTAAAGCCACGGGAGGGGCAAGCCAGTTGCATGGTCATTATCAATACGCAAAGGGGACTGTAGAGGTAAGTATCTTTTTGGGACTGGGACTTGAACCGCCACACCTTTTCGCAGTATCGTAGTAACAATAATTCGGAATGAAGCAAACACTTGGAAAAGTCACTGGTGCCACCGAGCTACAATCCGCCGGGAAAGCAGCCCAGATAACCGGGCTTGCCGAGATGCGAGCAGCGAATCAACATATTGACCCCAACAATGCTGCTCGCCCTGTGACATCCACATCAAATTCTGATACAACTGTAGTCGCTGGAGGAGGAGGGACAAACAGCAATGTTGACGTTGACTCGGGAACTCGGCAAGAAATGGATCAGCCAGCCACTGGTCGTCCCGGCTTCATGAACATTGAAGGCAAAGTTGAGAGAACGATGGGGAAGCTAGTTGGATGCAAAGGCATGCAGGTGGAAGGTGCGGAGAAGGTAGCTAGCGCGGGGGCTCTACGAAGAAATGAGGCTAGAGGAGGTGGGAGTGGAGGAATAGAGCAGAGGAAGTTCAGAGATGTTTAATGGATGACATTACGGTGGATTATAGGGTTTATAATAGCAAAAGGATATCTCAACTTTCACTTACATCTATCTTTGAATTCCAAAGTGTTGTGTTCGGTCGTATACATT